AATCGAATCAAATCGTGGTGTATTCTTGAGTATCGAAAATAATCGAATCGTTGGGTCAGGAAATCAATACTGAATCGAATCGCCATGATGGGTGTGATTTACACCCCTAGTACAAACCTAAATAAAGACAAAATAAATTAGACAAGCATACTCAATACAAAAACTAAAACAGCAAATAAATACAAAGGACTTAAAAATCACACTGAAATGTAATTTTCGCCTGTTAGGAATAAAGGATATAATCGAAACGTGTTTTCTTAAAAACGAGGCCCATTACTGTTTAGCCGTTTAGGTAATAACTTTATAATACAGGCTTTATTTTATTCATTTTTATCAAGCTAGACGTAGTAAAATGCAAAATAGTTTACTTCTCAAAGTGAAAATCTTTAGTTGAAATGCAGACCACTATTTCAAAGAATAAACTGAATTTAAAATATAATCGGTATACAAACAAAATATTGTATTATTGATTATAAAAAGAAAATATACAAACATAAGAATCACTGTTAGTGACAGATTTAAATACAAAATGAATATACCGGTAAGTTTGAAATTGCCATCATGGAGGACAAAAAGTGACCATGAGGGATTCAGAGGGTTCCCTCTGATAGGACACTTTGGACTGGTTCTTGGGTCAAACCTTCTCCATCTAAATATTCGACTGACCCAACAATTGGTTGGGATTTTTTTCACTTTGGGACAAGCTGGTTTAAAGACCAGGCTGTGGATCATCAAATTCAACTACAAAAGTTATTTAATTTTTTTTTTTTATATATCCATTCTTTGTACATCTGATGGACTTTTATAAGCAATGTTTATAGACCTTGAGCAGAAATGGTCAAGGCTAAATTTTTAGTCGCTGTCATTTTCTAGGTCAGAAGATGACCTGATTGAAACTATCTCACTTCCAAAGGCATCTAAAAAAGTTCAGTCTAGGAAAAATAAAACCTGCTTTGGTCTTTTTTAGGATTAAGCCCTTCCGGCTTCAAACATCCTGATCGAAGAACTGCAGTAGTACCATTGGTTACCTAGCAACAACCAAGAAGAGAAGATGGAGCCAAGGGCCATTAAACGGCTTATCTATACGTTTAAAATGTATTCAGCTTCATGAAAAAGCAAAACCAATCCTTCACCCAGACAAAAATGCAAATAAAGTAATAAATAGAAATAACTATCAAGAAATAAATTAAGTAACGGTAAAATTTTAAAATGAACAAACTGATAAAAGAATACAAATATAAATAAAAATTAAAGAGATGTTTTTAATATACTAAGACCAAGATAAAATCATTAATATCGTAGGAACGCACACACTCTTGACCTAAGGGTATTAAGCAAGAAATGTAATTTAATGTAACATCAACCAGGCTCTGATTTACTGTTGAAACAAATCTGTTTTGATTTCACTTATCGTCTGACAGATAAAAGAAACCTATATCTAAACATATTCAACTAGAAAACAAGATAAACAATAAATACATAGCATAAAAAATAAAAGTGTACTCACTGGCATAATACGATATCCTGGAAATCTCTGAAAAAGAGGAAGACATGAAACAAACATTTTACTTCGTTTGCCTTGATAGTAAAACATACGAATATCTGAGCTGGTGAATAATTCACAGTGACAGCATGGAAATCAATTGTGTCATCGATGAGTCACCACACTACGTGGCTCAGCATTCAGAAACAGTAAATAGTGGACTAACAGATTCCTTGAGGTTAAAAAGTATTTAATTTTCCCTTGATCACAAAAAAGGTATTTTTAATTTTTAAGTTATTTTCTAATCTATATAATCATATCAGTTAAATTGAGAAAAAAGTGAGAAAACATGATAAACAGAGACCAGAGTTCCTGCACATTTTCCATGTAGGAATATCTAACTAGTTTTTGACTTTTCCAAGAGCTTTTTGTGATCCATTTTAATTTAAAAGAATATAATACTGAAGTTCAATATTGTAGATATTTCTACAGTGGGGGCAGTTTTAAATGTGCAGTCTAAAGAACATGCAGAAATGTGAGGAAGGAAGGAAGGAAGGAAGGAAGGAAGGAAGGAAGGAAGGAAGGAAGGAAGGAAGGAAAGCACAGAGAAGAAAGGAAGGATGAAGTAAAAAGGATGCAAAGAAAGATCATATCTGGGACATGATCAAAATAAAAAAATAAAATAAAATAAAACAAGACAAACAAGAGACATGGGAAGTAAAGTCTGGAAATAACTCTAGAAATACAAATACTTTCCATCCTCATTTTATTATCAACACCTTTAAATATTTAAACTAATTCCAGACTTTTCCTGTCTGCAAAGGAAGAGAGCAAATCATAAAGGAATCCAAGTCCTTCAGAAATACAGCTGTTCAGCAAACAAGATTTACTGGCAGGAAACTTTCAATCACATGTAGCATGTTGACTTATTTCACATCAGACAGTGCAAAAGGGCTGACCACACAGCAGCTGAAAAGAATCAGGAGGATATGATATGTGTTGGGTCTCTTGCTAAGGTGAAGGCGGAGGTGAGAATTATGACTGGGCAGAATTGACCTGCTCTGTCATGCTGCTATAACTTTTCTCAGAGTCTCTAATCTCCTTCATGACCTCAGCCTCCATCCAAGCACGACTTTAATCAAAGCTCTACCTCATGCTTTTCTGTATTCATTTTCAAAAACAGCACCAAAACGAGCAGCTTGATGAAATGCCCTACACTGTGAGGCTGTGCTGACTCCTGTTACCAAGCAACGGCCACTAAGCAGGATGGCTGCGCTAATAAGGATGCAAATGCTTTGTCTTATACTACTAGTGGGATAAACGCCATGCCCTAATTCCAAACAATCCAAAATTGGAGAGTACCAAGTAGCACCATGGAGTGTTCCCTTGCTCTGAGTGTTACATAAAACACCTGCAGTAGTTTTTCCACATTTTGATCACAAATAACTGAATTCAATAATAAACAGGTTTTATTATGGGATACAGCTCTGATAATTAGACACAGTCAAACTAGATTTTTTTTTTTTTTTACAATCATTTTAACAAAACTATCTCTCAACAGAGGAGGTGGTCCTAGACATAACTTACGTGTACGGTAAGTAGTTGACAGGCACAAGCACTTTTAGGAACTAAATACCCAGAAAATTCACCTCTCACCTGCCGTCACCTGACTCAACCTTCAATGAAGCATGCGACCAAAACCACTCTGACAAGGGTGTTAACGAGTCACCTGTTGTTTTTTCCCTAATTCTTTGTCAGACCTACAGTTCATGAATCTCAGTGCGCCTCACCATCAGTTGGAACTGAAGATGCCTCTTGGATGACAGGTGAAACATCTTCTAGAAAAATACACATCCAATTCCCCAAGGCCAGGCACATACTGTAGGATATTTTCTATCATTATACTCAGCTACATCTCCAACAGTGACAACAATGAAACTGCAGGGTTTAAAAGTTCATAGCTCACAATGCATATTCTCACACTGTATGGCCCAGTGCATTGCGAACTAACTACTCACACTGCATGTCCAATAACCACACATCGGACTCACCGCCGAGAGATGGCGCTAATTGTCTTCTTCCAGATTTAATAGCTAGTCGTCAATCTGGAAGAAGAGGAAGATGAGGAATTGACTTGTTTTAACATGCACAATGCGCAAGGTTCTGGTAAATCAGCTAGTAGACGCTCTTAGCTCTGCTTGAACAGCAGGAATTGTTTCAAAAAGGTTTGATTTTCTCCCAACCTTACGATTCCTGATCTGGAGGTGGTCATGAAAGCTAACCGCCCCTCGTTAGCCCCTGTATACTACACCAGCTGTCCCCAACCACCGTGGTACCAAATGTCCGTGGGTCATTTGGTACCGGGCCGCACAGAAAAAAGTTTTTTATATATATATATATATATATATAATTTATCGACGATCAGAGTCTGAGTGATGTTTTATTTTGAAAAATATAAAAGATTGCGGTATTCTCTCCCAAT